AAATTTCCAAATGGAAGATTGAAATAATATGATTCTTTCTTGAGATACTTTTTATACGCCCACATGAATATGTGGTCGTATATTGACGTCGGTCCGTCCGTCAACATTTCTTGTGAGCACTATAGAGATTACAGTTTTTATCTGATTTTGATAAAACTTGGTGTGATGCTTTAGATTGATCAGATCTCGGTCAAATTCGAATTTGACATATTTTCGATGAACGGTTTTTGAGATATTGCCCTTGACTTAGAACGCCTTGAAATTTGTTAAAAATTGTTCGTGAGCAGGATTGAAGCTACAGTTTTCATCCGATTCTGATGAAACTTGGTGTGATCTTTGGAATTGATAAGATCTCGGACACGTTCTAACTTGCCGCATTTTCGATGAACGGTTTTTAAGTTATTGCCCTTGTCTTTGTAAAAACGCATCAATATTTGTTAAAAATAGTTCGTGAGCAGGATTGAAGCTACAGTTTTCAACCGATTCTGATGAAACTTGGTGTGATCATTGGAATTGATAAGATCTCGGACAAGTTATAACTTGACGCATTTTCGATGAATGGTTTTTGAGTTATTGCCCTTGACTTTGTTAAAATGCGTCGAAATTTGTTAAAAATAGTTTGTGAGCAGGATTGACGCTACAGTTTTCAACCGATTCTGATGAAACTTGTTGTGATCATTGGAATTGATAAGATCTCAGACAAGTTCTAACTTGATGCATTTTTGATGAACGGTTTTCGAGTTATTGCCCTTGACTTTGTAAAAACGCGTCAAAATTTGTTCGTGAGCACAATAGAAGCTACAGTTTTCAACCGATTCTGATGAAACTTGGTGTGATCATTGACATTGATAAGATCTCGGACAAGTTCTAACTTGACGCATTTTCGATGAAATGTTTTTGAGTTAATTCCAATAACTTACGAAAAACGCGTCACAATTTGTTTGTGAGCACAATAGAAGCTACAGTTTTCAACCGATTCTGATGAAAATTGGTGTGATCATTGGAATTGATAAGATCTCGGACAAGTTCTAACAAGAGATATTTTTGATGAACATTTTTTGAGATATTGCCCTTGACTTTGTAAACACGCATCAAAAGTTGTTTTTGCCCTTGATTAGAGCTGTGTGATTTAATTGTTTGTTGTATTTGGGTTATTGATATTGATTTTAAAAAATTTTGTTGAATTATTCAGCATAAATAATTTCTTCAATATGAGAAAATTCGTACTTTTGTCACTAAAGACTGTTTTATTATTTCTGACAGCTGCCAGTGGGCGTATGTTACCTAGCAACTCAAGCTATCTTTTTCTAAAGCGACTATATTTTTGTCCGGTTTCAAAACTAGGTTATTAATAGTGGTTATCTGTTGCTGAATAACACTATCATCAATGTTTTGTATTTGTTGTTGAATATAGGTTTTGATTTCGCTATCATCTATATGTTGTATTTGTTGTTGAATATAGGTTTTGATTTCGCTATCATCTATGTTTTGTATTTGTTTTTTAATATTTGTTAGTTCTTTTTGTAATTCACTGTTAAGTTTAGTTTCTCAGAGCATTTAATTCCTGTTGAAACTTATCTTCATTTTCATCTGGAATGTTATCTATTAATTGTTGAATGTCTAATTTTTGTTTTGCAATCTTATCCTCTAATTTAGGTATTAATGAAATTAAATTTTGTAACTCAGTTTTATTCGCTACGTTGACCAATTCTTTTTGAATAAAACTTATTAAACCTTTTACCTCTTGTTGTAGTTTAGTATCATTAATAAAAATTTTATTATTTAGTTGACGTTTGAAGAATCTTTTCACATTACTTATTTTATCTTCTAAATGGTTTTATTTACTTCAATTGAATTTATTTGTTCCCGTAAATATTCCTTGTGAACAGCGTCATTATCGTTTTCCGGAGACTTAAAATTAGTTACTTTGAAATTGTTCATATCTAAATCACCTTGAAGAGTGTCTCCGATTTGATCCACAAAGTAAGGTTTCGCTTTATTCATCCACACTGTAGTGTTAGGTTTTTTAGTTTCTAAAGATAAAGAACCTAATCCAAACTTGATCGCCATTTTTATTGAGTTAAATTTATTACAATTTCTTTGAACTGTTTTCCTAAACTCAACTGATATAAAACCCAAAGTGAAAGCTGACCACAAAACTTTTGTCCCGGTAATTGAATTTGAAATGTTGAACATTTGATTGGTTTATTAGTCAATTGCATTATCTCTTCAGTGGGTTCTAATCCATAAGAATCGAAGAAATATAAGTCATTTGAAGAGACTTTGTACAAAGCAGAATGATGAACTCCTTTTTGATCGGAAGTATGTATATTTGTTATCGCATAAAATTTACCTTTCTTATATTTCAGATCATTTATTTCATCTCTCATACAATAATAAAACAGTGATATATTTAACTCATTCACCCATCTCATAAGTTGAAAGTTTGTGGTTGTATCGTTTCCATATTTATCGAGACATTCATTCATTTTTAAAAGTCGGTTTTTTGAGGAGTATGCGGTAAGTATTGTTGAAATATATACGTAGCTTGAGTTTGAAAAAAATTGTATTATATTCTGATAAAACACATTCAATAATATTTTGAACATAAATTTGCATTTAAATTAAAAAAATTTAAATTTAAGAAAGCTTAAATGCTTGTCTACATCTAAATTTCTTAATCTTTGTTTTCGAGAAATTCATTCATTTTTAAAAGTCGGTTTTTTGAAGTTCGTTTTGATAAAACCTACCTATGATTTGTTCTTTGTCTTGATCGATTAATTCATATGATGGAGGTGATGTGGTGTTTACTTTATCAACGATGAATATTTCGTTTGTCTAGTATCCAACGTAACCTTTTTCAAATTTGCTTTTATATTTGAAAATACGAACTCGATCTCCGACTTTTAAGTTGGGTTTGATATTTAAATTCTTTATTTCATTTTCGTAGTTATGTTGTGCGTTAACTGACTTTATAATATTTGGATTACTTGAGGCGTGTGTTGGTGTGACACCTATAGATGAATGAATTTTGTTATTGTATTCATCTACAACCTCTGTTAATATTTTAAGCCATTTTTGAGATTTCAATTCCGTGAATTTTTTGAATAATTTACTTTTTAGAGTCCTGTTATATCGCTCAATAACTACAGCTTTACCTTCATTATGCGTACTGCAAATTTCAAATCCCAGAGATTTCATATTTTTGTTATAAAATTCACTTCCTTTATCTACCCACAGTTTTTCTGTCGGTTAGATTGTTTCATAATCGTTTCAAATACGTGTTTGACTGTTTTGTTTTTCAAAGGAATAACCCATACATATCTCGTATACAAATCTATAACTGTTAAGCAATATTTAAATCCTCTTTCGACTGGCATATGAATTAAATCGGCTGACCATATTTCATCTTTTTCAAACACTTTGACTTTTAAAAGCTTTTTAGTTTTTCTAAATTCTTTATGAATTTCATGAGCTAATCCCATGCCCAATTTCATCTTTGCTTTTAACAGTTTTATGATTAATGCTCTTTGCATTCTCTCTTTGAAAGTTGGATTTGGAATATTTTCAAGTTCGATTATCATTTGTCTGTCTGCTTCGTGTCTGAAGTTTATGTCTTTGTTTCTGTATAGCATGTCGTGTTTAAGCGCAGCGGCGTCAACTCTACTGACTGGTTCTTCCCCTGGTTTGGGTTTATCCTTTTCGTCTAATCGCAGATCTAACCTAGTACCTGGACCAGTGTAATTATGACCGGGAAGATGTTTTTCTCCGGGGTATTTCGCCCATGGAAATCCAGGAAGAGAACCCAATGATTTTTGTATATCTCCTGAACCGAAATAAGTTTTTGGAGCGTGAGCGACTATCATTTTTATCCTATAACTTGAAAACCTTTTCCTTTCCTTTCACTGTGTCGCTTATACTCTTTCCTGCTTCCGCGATTGAGCCGATGGCTTTCGCTCCGGTTAAAATGAGTGATTTGAAATGTAGGATGTTTAGGTGTAAGAATTTATGAAATGTAGGGAGTTTAGGTCTTTTTTGGGAGCTTATATATTGGTCGCATTTTCCCCATGAAATGAAATGGAATATATAAGCTCATACACTACTTAATTGAGTTATCAGTAAATTAAGTATTTTTATTCTTATTTTTTTAATTCATACTACAAGAGCTTTTTCTCTTTTTTTTTATTTTTAATTGGGTTCATCCTCAGGTGATAATAAACAATTCCACCAAGTTTTGGCTAAATCAGGTGTTTACAAGCTAAAGATTGGACTAAACCAAATATGTTTCTAAGAACAATGGCAATAACCCATATAAATAATTTCTTGGGTAATGCCACTAACTTTCTTTCAAATCTGTTGAGAATTCATGTTCCTTAAGCAATGTTACATGATAATGATCATCTAGCCGTTGCTCTCACAATCCCATTCTCGTCATTAATTTTGATTGGTAGAGAGTTTACTTCAAACAAATTATTGCGGGAAAATATTTGGATAACCAGACACTAAATTGTTTTTTGTCATATAGTGTCAATTTTCAAACAGATATTATATAGTTTTTTTTACAACAGAATATTCATATTGAGATAGCATGCGAATAAATGATTCGGCAAGTGAGTACAACTACACCAATGATTGATGTCCCCTTCAAATTCGCCATTCCCTAAAAAATCCCACCTGGAAAACTTTAAAAATTGTGTAAGATGGACGGAAGTGTTAAAATGCTCTGAAATTTTTTATGAATATTATACGGGTTTAGAACCTTCTGTCAAGTTTCACATCGATGGATTATCAAAAAGGCGGGTGGTGCAAAACTGTATATTTCCGAATAATTCAATGGAGTCTGCCCACCATTTGCAATCACCATCCCTTAGTGTTCAGACAATTAAAAAAAACAACCTCTAAGAATGGTTGATAGTTATGCTGCATTAACATTGGTCGTCTGTCGCACTATTAATGCAAACATTGAATCTTTATTGCCCACTCACAAACATGCTACTTACCATTTACGATTGGATCTCTGATAGTATAAGCCATGAATGGTTCACTTGCATCAAATCTTAAGGAATTATTATAGGCCAAAGTTATCTTTTCTAATGTTTCTTCATCAAGAACTTCACATTTTTCTTCCATAAACTGACTACCTACAACCGTTTTATAACTGTTATTAGTGTTATTATGTACAAACATAGAACAAATAAATTTGTTTTAAAACTTAGAGAAAAAAAATCAAAATTATAAAGCTAATTATTGCTAAGCCTCGATACATACCGATCCATATATAATTTTTATTCCGAAGGGCTTTGGAAATCAAACCCATAAAGACAAACAACAAATTATTTTCAGTATTCCTTCGTTTACAGTTCCAATTGGGTATAGAATAGTAGAAAAACCATTTCAAACAACATATCTACCAATTAATTCCACTGAATACTTTCTTTTGTTTATCTTTCAGAATTACAACACCATCTTTAAAACTTTTTCTCCCAGGTTTATCGAATTCGTTTTTAATGTCTCGCTAATTTAACATAATTGTCCACAGTCAACTTATTTTTTGAATATCCTTTAAAAGTTTTCTTTTCCATTAATTCTCTGTTAGAAGCTAGAACAATATTATTTTTCCACTATGTATTAATAATCATTTACTTGTTCATAACGTATTATATTTGAATCAAAATTTGCTTCAGACCATAAAAGAAATTCTGTATTAATATCTTTCTGGACAGTTTTACCTTAAATAACATTTCCCAATAATTTCATGCAATTGCTACCTACAATATTACCCTGTAGTTTTTATTCAGTTCTTTTTTCCTTTTAAGTCAAAATATAGTCTTTAAAAGGAGGGATTTTAAAATTTTCTTCGTAGACTATACCATCTAATATTTTAATAATCCTTCCACCAGCCTGTTCAATTTCCTGTATGTCGACTGAAGTGAGAACTTATTTACAAAATCCATTTCTAAATCTTATCTCATCAACAGTTTTTGTTTGGGTTATAATATAACCGTTAGATCGTCTTCTTTAACAGGATAACTTATTTTGTTTTTGGCTGGTATTGGTTGAAAAAAAAACATATATTCTAAATTTTTGTTCATTAAAAAGCTTTACGAATTCATTCTTTTCGGATTGTTTGAAAGCTCTTCCTTATTCAGCTTTTGGATATTCACCACCAAATAGCAGAAGCATGAAGATATTAGCGTCAAATGCCATTAATTTAGTGGACTACGAAACGAATTTGTGAAGACCCAATAGATCTTGTGTCTTTAAATACATTTGACATATTTCATTTCATTTATTCGGCCCGAATTTCATTATGTTTGCCGAAGCTCTACCACCTTTTACATAGCGTCTATCAAAGTGTCTGATGAATGGATCTACGTGAGAACATACTTTTTATTCTTAATATAAATAATACCAACCTTTAACAGATAGAGAAGGTGCTGTTAAATTATTTATAATAGTTTGATTTATCATGGATTTCATGACTTAATTGTATTTTATCAAACATGCTGCTAAACATATAGTATCTCTTCTAGGTTCCCACTCTTCTCACCGAGATTCCCAATTTGTTTCCTTAAATTCTGTAATATCTGAATCAATCTTTCCGAAATACATTGGTTGTTCTGATGATTTTCCCCAATCTTTTTAACTGTTTACTACATGTTGATATGAACAGGTGAAATATATTTTTTGAAAATTATTGTTTTTGTTGATAAATTTCTTTTCATTATTCAATTTTCTCTGTAAACATGTTTCTGTAAAAACATTAGATATTACTAAATGAATTATGCCTCTATTGGTTTTGAGAGGACAATGAGTTAATTTTGCCATATTTTTAATAATAATCCAGTTATCATAAACACTACCAATGTGAGAAATTAGAGTTAATTGTTTTTGATCGACAGAATCTTAATGTTTTAACATTTGATCTATACAGTTTACAAAATTGACACATTTAATAAAAATATAGCAATATTCTCCAATATATTCCTTGATACTAAAAGTTTTTATCTGATTTGAATGAAATTTAGTGTGATCATTTATATTAATGAGATCTTGGATAAGTTGGAATTTGATGATCTTTCGATGAACGTTTTTGAGTTATTGCCCTTGACTTAAGAAAAACGCTTTAAAATTTGTTTGTGAACACAATAGAGGGTACAGTTTTCATCTGATTTAAATGAAATTTGGTATGATCATTTATATTGATGAGATCTTAGTCAAGATTGAATTTGACAATTTTTCGATCAATGGAAATTGAGTTATTGCCCTTGACTCAGTAAAAAAGCATCAAAATTTGTTGGCGATAGAGGTGTCAGAATTATATTAAATAATTTGTGTTTGTCAACAATATCTTGCACAAATTAGATTTTTGGTATGATTTGACACAGATAGGTGACCACCCTTGATATACTGAAAACATATCAGGAAAGTAGGCTAGGCAACCACTTTTGATCGTATGAATGGTTTGAAATTGTTTGTTAACGAATTTTTTTTGCAGTTCGTTCGAACCCACTGCTTTGTTTTCGAAATGACTATTTTTTTTTTTTTTTTTTGTCTACTTCTGGTCACGCTCCCCAGCCAAAACTGCTCATACCATAGATTATCCGACATCATTTTCTCTTATACTTAGCGTGTCGCTATTGTTTAAATGTAAAATGACGCATCTTCGCCAAACCGGAAATGACGTAGGACTTTAACCGTTCATTACGTCTTTCCAATACCTGCTATTATTCTGAATCTATTTTGAACATAATTTTTGTTTTGTTCATTACTTTGAACTAATGTCTAAAAGATAGCAATTTAAGAAATTTCAAATTTTGACTTTTGTCGCTGACTTTTTGAGATTTTATTCAAAGCATTTTTTAAACTTCCACAATTTTATTTCAATCGGTCTAACAATTTAATAGTAGATAAGCATTTTAATTCCTGACAAAAATCTATTTTCAAAATTTCGATATCACTTCCGGTTTTGACGTCATTCGCCTCTAAACTTGAAATTTCAACTTCCGGAATTTTGTAGGTATTTGAAAAATTCTTTTTGAAATTAGTTAAAATTGTCCCTATAACAATTTTAGAATCAAAAAATTTGACCCGGAAGTATTGTGTAAGACGCCATCTTGATATGACTCATTTTTATAAAACTCAAAATGGGGCCTCGGGGTAAAATTGGATGTGCGTAAATTTGATGTTTATGTAAACTACAATCGATTGCTAACAAAACATTGGAAGCCGATTTTTGAATTTTGGCTTTGTATTTTTTTTATTTCCGGTTTTATGTTTTCAGTAATTGTCAAAACTATTAAGGCTCATATCTAGTGACTTTGACCTTTGGTGACCTTGTGACCTGAACAAAAGTTGTTGCCTCTTACGAGATCTATCCGATTATATCCCCACTTTTGTTGTGCATCGTTAACTTCCGGTTCTACAGCCATTGGAAAATCGCGATTTTTAACTTTGAAGAACTCTGTCACGTGACCTAATTAACATACAACAAAAATTCTTATATATTCTTTGAGTGCATGATCTCTCCTTTTTGACGATATATCACACTTGATATTTTGATCAAAATTGCGCGTTTTAAAAATTTTGTACTGACTTCTATAGTAACTGTGCCTAAAATCGGGGTGTCTATAATTAACCGACAGTCACCGTTGCCCTAAAAAAAAGTTTAACTACGAATATCTCATGATCTAATGATTGTAAAGACTTGAAATTTTGAACATTATTTAACAATGTAGGCATCATCACAGACAAATTAAAATTTTTGAAGTGGGCGTGGCACATCCGGTGGGCATTTACCTTTACCTGAAATATTTGCAATTGTCATAACTCGCAAAGTTTGCAATTGTCATCCTAGAAATTTTGCATGAAAGTAGATCACAGCTTAGGACAATTTGTGATAAGATTACAGTTGTTTGCGTTCTTTACTTTAAAAAGGGGAACAGGTTTAAGAATTTTAAAAATTTTCATTTTTGAACTTTGATCTTTGATGTCCAATATATGTTTTACAGACGTCCGAAAACAGCAATTTTCGAAACTTCATAGGCTCATATTACTTTTATTTAACCTTTGTTGACCTTTTGACCTGAACAAAGGATGTTGCCCATTACGAGATATATCCGATAATATTTTCACTTTTGTCGTGCTCCGTTAACTTCCGGTTCTACAGCCAATTGAAAATCGCGATTTTTAACTTAAAAAAAGGTCTATCACGTGACCTAATTTACATAAACGAAAATTTATCTTTTGTCCTTATTACACGCAATCTATTCTTTCAAATGATATATAACACTTGGTATTTTGATTAAAATTGAATTTGAAAATTTTGTATTGACTTCTATAGTAAGTTTGCGTAATTTTAACGGTTTCTATAATCCACCAACAGTCACCGTTGCCTTAAAAAAAACTTTTAACTACGAATATCTCATGCAATTTTCAACACTTTTAAGGCTTATATTCTCTTTTATTTGACCTCTGTTGACCTCTTGGCCGAAACACAAATTATTGTACCTTTCCAAAAATATTTTCATTTTTGTTGTGCGAATTGAACTTTTAACTTTACAACTATTTGAAAATTTGACTTTTTACTACCGAATGTTGACACCTTTTAGTACCGAATGGTATCAAATCCATGCGTCTTTTCACTACCGAACGTTAAACGATTTAAACGATTTTTTTTACTATTGAATGTTTACATGCTTTTCTTTCCGGTAAGATATCTCATTTTGACTTTAAAATGCAACGTGTTATCGATATATCAGGTTGGATGCACACTGCTTCGATACCGTTATAATGGTTCTATTTTTTTTTTTTTTTTTCGTCCACACCTTCCTGTGCTTAGACTGCAGTAGTTGCAGCAACGTTTCAAATTTCATAGACCTGCTATATAGGCGACGATGTGCATAAATATAAATTGGAACATTTTTGCAAAACCGGAAATTCCACAGTTCAGCATGTGTAAAAAGTCGAAAATCGGCTCTAGAAGGCGTATTTTTGCATCGATTTTCTTCGGGTTTTCATTTTTACAATCTACCTGTAATTTCTGACCTGATAGCACTTGGAAAATTACGAAATTCGAAAATTCGTAGCTCACTTTTTTCGATAAAATTTT